ACCTGGTATACCATTATAATTAACCTGGTTTATAAGGATGATAGAGACCTTAGTATACTGGTTACCTGGTATACCAATAATTAACTTGGTTTATAAGGATGATAGAGACCTTAGTATACTGATTACCTGGTATACCAATAATTAACCTGGTTTATAAGGGTGAAAGAGACCTTAGTATACTGGTTACCTGGTATACCAATAATTAACTTGGTTTATAAGGATGATAGAGACCTTAGTATACTGGTTACCTGGTATAACAATATAATTAACCTGGTTTATAAGGATGAAAGAGACCTTAGTATACTGGTTACCTGGTATACCAATAATTAACCTGGTTTATAAGGATGGTAGAGACCTTAGTATACTGGTTACCTGGTATACCAATAATTAACCTGGTTTATAAGGATGATAGAGACCTTAGTATACTGGTTACCTGGTATACCAATAATTAACTTGGTTTATAAGGATGAAAGAGACCTTAGTATACTGGTTACCTGGTATACCAATAATTAACTTGGTTTATAAGGGTGAAAGAGACCTTAGTATACTGGTTACCTGGTATACCAATAATTAACCTGGTGTATAAGGATGAAAGAGACCTTAGTATACTGGTTACCTGGTGTACCAATAATTAACTTGGTTTATAAGGATGAAAGAGACCTTAGTATACTGGTTACCTGGTGTACCAATAATTAACCTGGTTTATAAGGATGAAAGAGACCTTAGTATACTGGTTACCTGGTATACCAATAATTAACCTGGTGTATAAGGATGATAGAGACCTTAGTATACTGGTTACCTGGTATACCAATAATTAACTTGGTTTATAAGGATGAAAGAGACCTGAGTATACTGGTTACCTGGTATACCAATAATTAACATGGTTTATAAGGATGAAAGAGACCTTAGTATACTGGTTACCTGGTATACCAATAATTAACCTGGTGTATAAGGATGAAAGAGACCTTAGTATACTGGTTACCTGGTATACCAATAATTAACTTGGTTTATAAGGATGAAAGAGACCTTAGTATACTGGTTACCTGGTATACCAATAATTAACCTGGTGTATAAGGTTGAAAGAGACCTTAGTATACTGGTTACCTGGTATACCAATAATTAACCTGGTTTATAAGGTTGAAAGAGACCTTAGTATACTGGTTACCTGGTATACCAATAATTAACCTGGTTTATAAGGATGATAGAGACCTTAGTATACTGGTTACCTGGTATACCAATAATTAACCTGGTTTATAAGGATGATAGAGACCTTAGTATACTGGTTACCTGGTATACCAATAATTAACCTGGTTTATAAGGATGATAGAGACCTTAGTATACTGGTTACCTGGTATACCAATAATTAACCTGGTGTATAAGGATGAAAGAGACCTTAGTATACTGGTTACCTGGTATACCAATAATTAACCTGGTGTATAAGGATGATAGAGACCTTAGTATACTGGTTACCTGGTATACCAATAATTAACCTGGTTTATAAGGATGATAGAGACCTTTATATTCTGGTGACCTGGTATCCTAATACCTGGTTCACAATATAATTGTCTATAATACATTGGTAAACACATTGTTTGGTTTGTGAGGACAATAGATCATGGTTTCTAATCGTATGCTCCAAAAGGGCAATAACCATTAGTATACTAATACTATTTACTTGCTTCATAAGTGCAATAACCGTTGGTATAGGAATAACTTGCTTCATAAAGGCATATTAACTGTTGGTTAACGAATGACTTGTTTCATAAGGGCAATTACTCTTAGTATACTAATTATCTGCTTCATAAGGGTAATGACTCACCTCAAGTAGACTGAAAATATTCCACCCAACTTTGTTATTAGGAGCTAAGAAAGTAAGAGGACCTCAGGTAGTTTTTTGCCATTCTGTAGGGTTGGTACTAGATGAATTATATGTATTTCAGGGGATTTAGAAATATGCTTTTGATATAAGAAATTCAAATATTACCACCATTTGTTAAAAACTTCCAGAGATCACTGGGGATATAGATAGCAATTAAAATGTGATTTAAACATTATCAGAGTAAAAAAAACTATGGTAGTAATTAAAATGTGATTTAAACATTATCAGAGTAAAAAAACTATGTGTTTCAAAACATGATGATATTTGTTATCAGAGTTAAATAGTGTCTGTTTTTCATGTTATCATTATCGACCACCATGTTTAACCTTGCTCATCCTCTCATTGTCATGGGATTGGTTTTTTCTTCAAAAATGATAATGACTTTTTAGCTGAATAATTGTAATTGTTTTGAAATTAGAAACCCCCAAGAAAAGAATGGAAAAAAAGAGGGAATCTTACTATAATCTCTATCAAATAACCTTAACAGTAAAAGAGGCTGTTATTCTATGCATAAATACATCTGATTTTATGCTTACCATTACTCTACCAGAAATAATGGAATAGTTTAATTGTTAATCTCTATGTCATATTTTCCTCAATTTTTATGTAAAAAATCTCCCTGTGTAAAATTTTTTCCCTAATTTTATTAATCTTCATAAAGTCAATGAATCTGTCAGGAACATTCAGTTTATGTTCTTTATAGGCTTTCGTGACTATAAATGTTGTTATTAACATTAACTGTTAAATAGCCATATTGATATAAAATATATATATATAAAAAAAAAACATGTTTGATAAACTCAGAAGGCATTGACCCCCCTCATTAATGGACTTCCAAAAGAAGTGCTATCTTGAACCTATGGAAATGTAATATTTCTTTGGTTAACCAGAATCCATTTGAAACAATAGAATATTAATGTCATATTGCCAAAGGTATACTTCAGATTAACAGAAAACTGTCATGTCTTCTGATCTAGATACAGATATTGAAATTTAAATTCACATTCATTCTTAGTCATTTGGAGAAACTGTGTGCTCAATTTTTAAAGTACCAGTATTTAAAAATCTTTGCAAAAAGCTTTAATTTGTATTGCAGAATGTTTTACCATTATACAACAAGGACTAAATTATTATTCATTGGCATAAAATTGTCATTTAAAATTAAATAGCAAGAAACTTTATAGCTATGAAGTCTAAATCTGAAACCAAAATTAAAAGTTCCTTTGGCCTACAAATGTTGAGGTAATTCATTCTGGTTAAGTTCTGCAGTGATTAACAGATCTAAGGAATTGTGGGTAGAATTCATAGATGAATGATATTATGTCAATGGTCAAGGGACTTTATCTTGGATAGGGATGCACGTCCATCTTGATATACATTTCATATGAGAGATGCTTTTAGGCTTGAATTGAACTATAAGTAATAAGGACTTTTTCAGTGATATATCTCTCAACAGCATAATATAGACAAAAGTCTGATTCTCAATCATGAACAATATTTGGGATTTGTATTTGTTATGAAGAGTTTTTTTGTACCACAGAAATTATACTTGAAAGGCCCACAAAATTTGTATATGAATTCATTAACAGAAGTACACCTGCTTCTGAAATATTTCATTATACCTTGACCCTAGTTTAACACATTGATTGACTTTTCTGACTTTTATGCCCTCGCCGTAGGTGATGGGGGCATTAAGTGTTACCCTTGACCATTTGTCCTTCCGTTCATCCGGTCCGGGAACACAGTTATCATCCTTTGATTTTCGTTGTCCACGAATATAGTCCCTAGTGTGGACAGTATGTTACTTGCAATTTTTTTTATACCCTTTCCAAATTTATTTCTTCATGTTTTATGCCTCAAATAGCAAGTAGGGGGATGAAATTACACTGTAAAAATTTGGGTCATGAATTTTAAAGTAAAGTAGTGATTTGGTCCAGCTAACAAAGGTTAAAAATTAGTATTTCGGAAGCTGTCAAAAGAATTCCAGACCCCCTTAACATAAAATTGTCCATATTTTGAGTTAGAGCTGATGAAGTTTTTTATAATTTTGATATAATTTGTCCCAAAAGTAGTACACCACACTGTTAAAATATTATTGAGAAAGCGCAGGTGGGATTTTTTTAATTTTCATTTATTGTCTAAAAGAAATGCACTATGAAATAACTGTGTTCTCGGGCCATCCATCTGTCCATCCTTCCGTCTTTCCGTCCGTCCCATTCTCGTTTCTGCTCTTACTTAAGTTTTACTCATCCAAATTTTATGAACCTCATTCACAATGCTAAGAACCTCAACAGGCAGACAGAGTTCGATGTTTGGTAGTGAATCATTTACGGTTCTAGAGTTATGCCCCTTTTTTTTAACTTAAAAAATTGCAAAGCTTGAGTTGGGGGCATTCTTGTCCTCATTCACATTCTTCTTTTATTTCATTAAACCTCGACCCCAGTTTAACATTTTGATTGACTTTTTAAACAGTTTAAATTTTGCATGTGGTAGACATGATATTTTAGTGTGTCAGATCATGTTTTTATAATTGTGTTAGTCTGATTCTCAGTGTCCCAATAGTTCATCAATATTGGAATAATTGCACTGACACTGGTTAAGTAAATCCAATTAAGTCCCAGTTAGATATGTATCCCGAGGCTGGTTACTTATAAAGTTGTTATATTCAAATGAAGTATTTCATTCCAATTAATATGAAGCCTTAAACTGTATTTTAGTTTATCCACATAACTGTTGTATCCATTAAATTGCTACTATGATGTACGAGATGCTGTTTTCAAACACCTACAGGCTATTGCGAAATGATTACAAAACAAATATTATACAATCAGCTTGGGTTTTTAAAATAGTTAAGGATCTTCATGCTATCAATAATCAGGAAAAGAACGTTTGTCGTGCAGAGAATTTAAGTGATATACTTTGGAAATTTTCCATAAGTTAATGTGAGTGTCATTGTCATAAGATTGTATAATAATATGTAAATTAGTTAAAAGAATTTTTATGATGTTGTTTTCATACAGCAATTTATATTTGTATATTCAAAATCAATAATTTTGCATGATATTACCTAAGTGAATTTAAATGAATGTCACATTTCAATTAACTTTTTTCTTTTTTTCAGTTTATATGTTCCTTCTCCCACCCTGCTGTAATCCCATTCCACAACCGAAGTGTGTGGATACCTATCAAAGTGGATCAAATTACAAGAAAAGAAGATTTTGGCATAGCTAAGGCTTTGGCCAGCATTCTTAAGTTGATTGAAACAGTGATCATGGATACTCCTTTTGCAGAGGGGCCACCCAATGGGCGGCTACCATCTACTTCAGATGATGCAGATATGATGGAAAATGAAAATATGGAGACAAAAATAGGCTCTCAGGAATCATTTACAGAGTTTATGGCTCAGAGCTTGCCACATAAAACAGGCCCAGTGATTCATAGACGGGCAGATCGTCATTATTCTAAACGAATGCGTCGAAGACTTGTTTACAAAAATGGTGAAGTGAATATTACACAAACAAATATAAGAAAACGTAGACGAAGATATTTAGCTGATATTTTCACAACATTAGTTGACATTAAGTGGAGATATAACTTGCTGTTGTTTGCATTAGCTTTCATACTTAGTTGGTTAATGTTTGCAGTGATATGGTGGCTTATAAGCTTTTCACATGGGGATTTAGAAAACAGTAGCAATAAAAACTGGAAACCTTGTGTGAAGGAAATGTATTCATTTACGTCTGCATTACTGTTTTCTATAGAAACACAACATACCATTGGATATGGTGCTCGTCACACAACAGAAGAATGTCCAGAAGCCATTACAGTCATGATGATTCAATCATGTTTCGGTGTTATTTGTCAGGCAATGATGACGGGAATTGTTTTCGCTAAACTTTCACGGCCTAAAAAACGTGCTGAAACATTAATGTTTAGCAAAAATGCTTGTATATGCAAACAAGATGGAGATCTTTGTTTGTTGATACGTGTTGGCGATATGAGAAAATCTCATTTAGTTGAAGCTCATGTCAGGGCAGTTGTGATAAAAAGAAAAATAACTAAAGAAGGTGAAGTTTTACCTCTCTACCAGTTTGATGTTGATTTAGGATTTGATCAGGGACGGGACAGACTTTTTCTAGTATGGCCTGTTATTCTGGTCCATAAAATCAATGAAGAAAGTCCTTTTTGGGAGATGGCTCCAGAGGATTTACATAGAGAACAGTTTGAGCTTATTGTAATACTCGAGGGTATTGTGGAATCCACTGGAATGACAACACAAGCAAGGAGTTCTTATCTCCCTGGAGAAATTTTATGGGGACATAGATTCGAAAGATTGGTAACCTTTCAAAAAGAGAATGGTCAATATCAAATAGACTTTTCAAGATTTCACAATACCTTGCCAATGGAAACTCCACAGTATAGTGCAAAGGAATTATCAGAAATGAGTGATAGAGGGCATCAAAATCTGGCCATAGATGATGATGAGGAGGTGACCTCTGTGGGATCGACAAAACATGATAAGTTTCCAAGTCCCTATGTGATAAAAAGACATGGTTATGCACAAACTGACTTTGATTATGATGAAGATGATTTGATTTCACAAGAAAGTTCTGTTCAAAGTAGACAAACCAATGAATCAGAAACATTATTATGAAACCATTATACATTAGGTAAGTTAGACTAAGTATTAAAGTCGAATGGTCTGATTAGTTAGTCAACAAATACCAGGGCAACTTATTGCACCTATAACCATTCAGAAATTGTTCTACTGGAAAAATTTTCCAAAGTGGCAAAAAAGATTACATTTTCTCATATCTTCCTGCAGTCTGTTACATTGTGAACTAGCACATTAAAAATGGAGCTCAGGGTGTTGGTCTAGTACAAAGCAGCGTTCATATTCATATCGCATTAAAATTTACAAGATTTACATAAAATTTGTCACTGGATCCAACATCATCATCTATTTTCATAAGCATAATATTATATCTCAGTTGGATAATCCGAGAGAATAATCCATTAACAAGAGGAAAGTCTACTTGATTAAATTGTTTTCTTTGCAAACCTGAAAGTGAGTTCATACTTTTTTTAGTAAATAATCATGCTCATGGAGAGTTGTCTCATTGGCACTCATACCACATCTTTTTATTTATATTTATAAAGAAATGCAAATGTTTGCTACTCACTTGCTCACAGAGGATGCTTGAAAATTCAAAATAACATGAAATTTGTATCTAACATGATTTTCAATTAATCATTTATCTTGTAACAATCTTGTTATGATATTATTGACTGTTAAACTACTGTTCTTTTTGCAGCATTCTTAGTTAGTTAGTTTTGTGATGTATACTTTCAAATATTTTCTGACAAAAGGGAGATAATCCAATTTTTATTCCTATTATCTTTTCAGACATCCAAAACAGAACATCATTCCAGGGTTGCAGAATATTTTTAAACAGTTGTCAGTTGTTTGTGATTTTCCAGAACAAAACCTTTTTAAATGTTATTTGTACTATATTACTAAAATGATTTTTTTTAACTGTGTAAATTATTGTACAAATTTTGATGGAAGACTTTTGTCGTCATTTCTTTTTCGTCAGTATTAATATTTCAGTACATATGCTGAACCTATACTGTCTCAATTAATTTGTTGGCTATATACAGGCCATTTTTTTTTTAATTTTGAAAAATATGATAAAATATCATTATAGTATTATGGATTCATAAAATACAATAGGCAAATTAGTTCAAACTACTGATCATACAAAGATTACTTTAGTCCCTTTTTTTCCCTAATAAAGAGTAATATTTTACAAGGCTACAAGAATTACTGATATTATAATAAATAAATTTACTGATGGTCTGTTCTACCTCAGTATAATGAAGACTACACAATCTCAGGCACACACTGTTCATCACCTATATTTGTCTGTTGCAGATCATCCAAAGCTTCTGTATACTTTATATATTTGTTCCATACACAGTATTATAACAATTAATAAAGTTAACTATTAAGCTGATGGGGTTGATATCTATTACTTTGCCTCTTTCTTCAGTTAATACGGCTAAAGAGAAAATCAATGAAAATAATGAAATTCTAAAAGTTAAAAGAGATCATATCAACAAAGCTTATATTTGATTTTATTTGTCAAAAAAGGGCAAATCTTAAACCTTTTAGTAAATGTAAAAAAAAGCCCTTTGTTTTGGGATAGGGGTAAATAACCAATCTATATTCAATAGATTTTGAAAATAATGGTATTTAGCCAAATTGTAGATAAATATTTTGAGTGACACAAACATGTTCTGAAAATACAATATTTGTTTTAATTTATTAAATGATCCAAAAACTGCACTTTTATTTTAATGACATGAAATTTAATTTGGTTATTTGATTAGCCTACTATATGTTGAAATAGTTATACATTGTACATTGTAATATGACATATTTGTACATTGTACATTGTAATATGATATAGTTATACATTGTACATTGTAATATGGCATATTTATACATTGTGCATTGTTATATGACATATTTATAGATTGTACATTGCATTGCTGTGATATGATTTCATTTTAATGTTCTGTCCTGCTGTAAATATTAAAACTTTTTTTTTTAATTTTCAATAAAAATAAGTAATGTAATGATCAACACTGTAATTCCTGCAAGATAAATAATAAAAGTATGATAATTAACATTTTTTATAACAATGTGACTTTGAATACAAACAAAAAATTTGTTGGTTTATATAATTACAATTTATTTAAAATAAATACACATTGTATTATTTTAAATTGGACATAAAAAATGTTTATAAGACCATGAGATGTTTGGAGTCAGAAGGAAAGATTGAAGAATTATTCTCTTTTATATACATGTATAAAATACCAGAGTTTTTTTTACACCATTCTTAAAATAAAAAAACTTCAAATATTTTTTATGTTATGAAGGTTTGAAATGAATGTGTCAGATTTGATATAAATGGTATGCCATGTTAGAATAAGATACAGCCTTGTTGACATGTTTGTAAACAATTATATTTGTTTGTTATTCATTTCTTTGTGGAAAGGAATTTTTAGCTATAGCTCATGTGTAATTTTTCATGCTTTTCATTGTAATGCATTACATTTGTTACCCCTCTTGCTGTTATCCCTCTCCAGCAGAGGAAATATCATCCCTAGATGAGGAGGAGTAAACTTTGGACAAGGATTGAGTTACAAAGAAATTATAAATCTTCAAATCAGTGGTCTTGCTCAAGAAGGATTTAATAGTAAAGAATTACTTCATGATAATAAGGGCAGGCTTAGTATACTTACTCAACGATACTAAATGTGTTGAGTATCATGCATTTTATTTTATCTGTCATAAATGTCTAAAAATAGAGCACGAATATCAATTGTCTTTTGCAGTTACTTTTTTGATATGTATGTATAACAATTTGGAAAAACTTTTCATTTGAAAATCCTATAAATTTGAATACTTTGTTAATTTATTAGTAAATTTGATGTAGTAAAGAAATTTAGAAATTTATGGAATGTGCTGTTATTTGGCACATGTCTGACAATTTAAATGCTAGTGTAAAAACATAAACATGTATTAAAAGGGTGATGCATTAACTGTGGTTTATTAAAAGTAAAAGGGTAATGCATTAACTGTGGTTTAATAAAAGGGTTATGCATTAACTGTGGTTTATTAAAAGGGTTATGCATTAACTGTGGTTTAATAAAAGGTTTATGCATTAATTGTTGTTTATTAAAAGTAAATAACATTTTTAGTTGGACAGCATCTGTTTAGTAAAACTAGCTCATTTAAAAAATCATAGAGTTATTTCCCCTTAACCACTGCTTGGTATGTGGTAAAATATACTATTTAGCTAATTCTTTGGCTGGCCACAGACCACAATTAAATTCTCTATTAGTTCTTTATAACGTTTTGTTTCATTAAAAAAAATGCACCGATTCTTTTTGTCAAATATTTTGTGTGTGTAAAGTACAGTACTAGTCCAAACATATATCAAACATTCAGAAATATCGCTCCCCAGCATCTTACAAATTTAGCCAATACACATCCATACCCCTATGGACAAGTCAAGAGATGTTCCGAAAACTGTAAATATCACCTTTTTGCACCTGGCCTAATCACTCTTTCCATATCAAAATCAGTTAAAATACAACATCCAAAAGTTTATTTCACCTCTCTTCTTTCATTTCCATCCAAAAAAATCTAAGAAATGAGTGAGGAAGGGAAAGAAAAAAAATTAAGAAAAAATACTCTCTAATTAAAAGGAACTATATTCGTGGACAACGAAAAGTGGGATCAATAATTGTGGTCTTTGGCCGGCTCATCTACTCAAAAGCCTCATAGAAATTTTTTTAAATAATCAGCAAAGTCATAGAATAAATCATTACTTGTACAAACATCATATTACTAATAAATAAATATTTTGAGTTTTATTTCAGAGAATTGTCAACACACAAAGTATCGATTTGTGCTATATAAGTGTATGATTTAATTTAGTAAAAGACTGAGGCAAGAGGTCACTATAATCTTCTAAGTCATCAATTGCCTTTTCTTTATTCATTGCCTTTACATGTGTCAAAGGTTGAAATTGTTGTATAATTTGCTTTTTGATTTATGGCTGAATTTTAAATAAATATGTGAAATTTGTACATATTTTTACTGAGTTTGATACTTGTATAAAAAGTTATGAATCTCAATGTCTGTCATTGAATCTCAGAATGAAATGTGATATGTTTTAGTTATAGAAGATACGAAGATTTTAGTTATAGAAGGTAAAAAGATTTTAGAGAGATTGTAAGACTAGAAATCTCACACAAGTAAGGTTAGGATTTGTTGTCTCTAGTAAGACTTGAGAATGTACACCATTTTCAAGTTTCCTGATTTTAGTACAACTGACCTCAAATTTTTGCACTTTGACCAAATAATATTTAAAAAAACACATTGTTTTGGTCTGTGGTATCATATGTTTTATGTTATGATGCTATAAAATTCTGGGTTCTCTTTTCCTATCCTTTGATGAAAACATACTAGAAATTGATGTATTGGTAATCTAAAGGTGTGAGGGTTTCATAGGTCTCAGCAGTGGACGACTGAGATCTCTGGTCATGTTCTGACAACCTCATGCTTTCAATGTTCAAGTGAATTCTGTTACATAAAAAAGTACCTGAGACCGTAGCATGTTGTTATATATCTACCATTGGAAGTTAATCAACATCATGGTGAGAGATAGTTCGTCTATTTTTATATTCTTTAGAAAAAAAACGTTTATAACATAAACGTTTTTTTATATAGCCTTTTCTATTACCTGTCTTGCATTAAATTGAATACAAGTTCTGTGAAATTTTTCTAACTATTAAGGGGGTTTATCCTGAAATTTAATAAAAATACTGATAGATGTTCTTTGGCTACTGATTTACAAGTAAATCATTTGTTGCATTTTTGTAAAGCTGGAGAAAAATTAAATTTAGTAACTCATTTATATATTGTTTTGATACTTATAACTTATTTGCAATTTGTATGCAATATTTGCATGGGAGTTTTGTGGTCATGAGATAAATCATAGTTTAATTATTAAAAAAAAATGGGTTAAATGTTAAAAAAATGTCTGAACACAATTAATTTTCTTTAAAATATTTTTACCTTTACGGATGCGATTTGAATTTTATGATTTGACTTGACTGGAGAAACCCTTTTTAAGCCTTTTCCCATAGATTTTAGCAACCGTTTTTGTGGGGGAGAACGAGGAGTTAAAACTGTTTTAAAAGAGGAGAGGTTGAAATGGCTCTCATTATATGATAGAAATAACCGATATATTTGATTTCACTTTGAATGTTGTTTGGCTGATCGAATCCTATTGAATAAATTCATGTTTACCTCATTGTCATTACATTTATTTACTAATACTTGTTAGGATATTAAATATGGATATTAATTGAGATGCTGAATTGTGTCTTTCATTAAAAATAGTAGTTTTAATTGGAAACAGCATTTCAATTCCTAAAGAAATTAAGAATTGATTTTTATTTTAAACAAATGTGACCACTTAGTAGTTAAATATTGTTTGGGAACTAGTGGCATTTTTGTGTCAACATTTTTTGCTATGCAAAATAGTTGATGGAATTGAGGAGCCGTTGTTGAATTAAATTTTTTGGGGAAGAAATTGTAGGTTTCCATTTCAGAAACTAGGAAAAAAGCTGATATTTGAACCTTTGAAATTTTAAATTGCACATATTTAAATTTTGCTTGCTCTCCATTAAATAGTGTTGGGTAGGATAGATAGTGAAGCTGAATCTTCATTGACCTAATGGTGTCTTCAGCTACAAGCACTTAATTAGATAGTATAATATATATAATTTGAGAAGACAGAAATTGAACAAAACCTTAAATGATTCAGTAGGCAGTCCATAACTTTCATAATTAATACATTATATTGTGTTATTCATGACACCATTTTCTTTTTTCTGAATGAATGTTACATTTTGTGATGATTTGGGAATGGTGCTACATGATGTTGCTACAGTTATGAACATTTTATACTGTTTACTATTTTTACCATTTACATATTTAATTTTTGCATCTTTTCACTATCATGCATATTTGTGTGTTAAGTTTCATTAATATTATATATTATTTTGAGTAAATAAAATCATTTTTTACCAAAAGAAACTTTTTATTTATTGGCCATACATATTTCATAAAGACAGATCTATGGGCGTACACTCCCTTTTAGCCCAAAGGGCCAGTATGAGGGTTTGCCAGCACTTGGTTTCTGCTGCCCATTTACATAAAATAAATCTGCTTTGAAACAACACTGCTAATTGGAACCAAAGTTATTCTCTATCATACTTTGGAACCAAACTTATCATCAATCATCTATTTATGAAAATGCCAAGATGACTGCAACCATCAATTGCCCCCTTGTAAGAGTAATTGCCCTTTAATGTAGATTTTTTTTTCAAAGCTATTATATATGGACAGTAAATGGTATACAGCAATAAATAGCAATACAAGAACTTCAAAATGTTTAGTAATAAAGTTTAGCCTGACTGATATCTTGACTTACATCTAGAAATTTCCAATGAGGGTCGACTGCGAACCAAATTTTTTGAAAAAAGATGATTTAAGCTTCCCCATTTCTATGTAGAAACATTACAGTAGCGCCTGCGTATGGAGTATATATCTCCCAGTTGATACGGATTCCAGACGGCTTATATTTCTTATGATGATTTCCTTGATAGGGGATTGCTGCTTACGAGGAAGCTATTAAACCAAGAGCTCCAAATGGTGAAGTTTGAAGTCATCCCTTCATAAATTTTACGAACGCCACCACAGGTTGGTTGACCATTTATGGAATATTTGTTTCACAGATGACGACGAAAATGATCTGCTTACCCTTTAAGCACCTGAGTTCAAACCTGGTTTTTGGTGGGGTTTGTGTTTCATTGTGTTCTGTTATGTAGACTATTGTTTGACTTTTTGTCGTTTTTCGTATTTTGCCAAGGCATTGTCAGCTTGTTTTTCGACTTACGAGTCCTTACAGCAGATATTGTCCTTAGATGAAGATTTTTTACCAGTGTTAGCCTTTTTGCCTATCATCTTGAAAACAATAATAGACGGACAGAAACTATAAATTATCAGTAATACAAGATCTACAAAACTGATACCAATATGACTGAAACCATGAATGACTTTAAATAAGAGTAATTGCCCTTAAATGATTTATGACCTATTTTGGAGTTTTTGCCTATTTTCTTGAAAACTTATAGACAGAAAATAAACAATGTAAAAACGAGCATAAAGGCAAGGTCAATACAACTGAAACTGTCAGTTGACTGTTTATTTATGGCATTACCCTTTTACTCATTGTCTGCCTTCTTTTATGAAAGATCTTAACTACTAGACTATTTTACGAATTTTTAATCAAACTTGAAATGAATGATCCTTAGCGTGTCTAGATTTAAAGTTCGTAAATTTAATTCTGATCTTTAGGGTTGGAGTGTGGCAATTGTTCAAAATGAACATTGATCTAGGTGATCGATAAAGAAATAGCCTATAGTTCTGTTTTTCAAATTTTTTTGGGGACGGGTTGTGAATGATTCTACAGCAGCCAATACAGTGCAGTCTGTTCTTATCATCCTAAATGGTTCTACAGCAGCCACTACAGTGCAGTCCATTCTTATAATCCTTAATGATTCTACAGCAGCCACTACAGTGTAGTCCGTTCTTATAATCCTTAATGATTCTACAGCGGCCACTACAGTGTAGTCCGTTCTTACACTATAATCCTTAATGATTCTACAGCGGCCACTACAGTGCAGTCCGTTCTTATAATCCTTAATGATTCTACAGCGGCCACTACAGTGCAGTCCGTTCTTATAATCCTTAATGATTCTACAGCAGCCACTACAGTGCACTCCGTTCTTATAATCCTTAATGATTCTACAGCAGCCACTACAGTGCAGTCCGTTCTTATAATCCTTAATGATTCTACAGCGGCCACTACAGTGCACTCCGTTCTTATAATCCTTAATGATTCTACAGCGGCCACTACAGTGTAGCCCGTTCTTATAATCCTTAATGATTCTACAGCGGCCACTACAGTGCAGTCCGTTCTTATAATCCTTAATGATTCTACAGCGGCCACTACAGTGCAGTCCGTTCTAATAATCCTTAATGATTATACAGCAGCCACTACAGTGCACTCCGTTCTTATAATCCTTAATGATTCTACAGCAGCCACTACAGTGCAGTCCGTTCTTATAATCCTAAATGATTCTACAGCAGCCACTACTGTGCACTCCGTTCTTATAATCCTTAATGATTCTACAGCAGCCACTACAGTGCAGTCCGTTCTTATAATCCTTGATGACTAAGTTCTACAGCAGTCACTACAGTGCACTCCGTTCTTATAATCCTTAATGATTATACAGCAGCCACTACAGTGCAGTCTGATCTTATAATCCTTAATGATTCTACAGCAGCCACTACAGTGCACTCCGTTCTTATAATCCTTAATGTTTCTACAGCAGTCACTACAGTGCAGTCCGTTATTATAATCCTTAATGATTCTACAGCAGCCACTACTGTGCACTCCGTTCTTATAATCCTTAATGATTCTACAGCAGTCACTACAGTGCACTCCGTTCTTATAATCCTGAATGATTCTACAGCAGCCACTACTGTGCAGTCTGTTCTTATAATCGTTAAAGTATCTACAGCATCCACTACAGTGCAGTCCGTTCTTATAATCCTTGACGATTCCACAGCAGTCACTACAGTGCACTCCGTTCTTATAATCCTTGATGATTCTACAGCAGTCACTACAGTGCAGTCCGTTCTTATAATCCTTAATGATTCTACAGCAGCCACTACTGTTCAGTCTGTTCTTAAAATCCTTAATGATTCTACAGCAGCCACTACAGTGCAGTCTGTTCTTAAAATCCTTAATGATTCTACAGCAGCCACTACAGTGCAGTCCGTTCTTATAATCCTTAATGATTCTACAGCGGCCACTACAGTGCACTCCGTTCTTATAATCCTTAATGATTCTACAGCGGCCACTACAGTGTAGTCCGTTCTTATAATCCTTAATGATTCTACAGCGGCCACTACAGTGCAGTCCGTTCTTATAATCCTTAATGATTCTACAGCGGCCACTACAGTGCAGTCCGTTCTAATAATCCTTAATGATTCTACAGCAGCCACTACAGTGCACTCCGTTCTTATAATCCTTAATGATTCTACAGCAGTCACTACAGTGCAGTCCGTTCTTATAATCCTTAATGATTCTACAGCAGCCACTACAGTGCACTCCGTTCTTATAATCCTTAATGATTCTACAGCAGCCAGTACAGTGCAGTCTGATCTTATAATCCTTAATGATTCTACAGCAGCCACTACTGTGCAGTCCGTTCTTATAATCCTTAATGATTCTACAGCGGCCACTACAGTGCACTCCGTTCTTATAATCCTTAATGATTCTACAGCGGCCACTACAGTGTAGTCCGTTCTTATAATCCTTAATGATTCTACAGCGGCCACTACAGTGCAGTCCGTTCTTATAATCCTTAATGATTCTACAGCGGCCACTACAGTGCAGTCCGTTCTAATAATCCTTAATGATTCTACAGCAGCCACTACAGTGCACTCCGTTCTTATAATCCTTAATGATTCTACAGCAGTCACTACAGTGCAGTCCGTTCTTATAATCCTTAATGATTCTACAGCAGCCACTACAGTGCACTCCGTTCTTATAATCCTTAATGATTCTACAGCAGCCAGTACAGTGCAGTCTGATCTTATAATCCTTAATGATTCTACAGCAGCCACTACTGTGCACTCCGTTCTTATAATCCTTAATGATTCTACAGCGGCCACTACAGTGTAGCCCGTTCTTATAATCCTTAATGATTCTACAGCGGCCACTACAGTGCAGTCCGTTCTTATAATCCTTAATGATTCTACAGCGGCCACTACAGTGCAGTCCGTTCTAATAATCCTTAATGATTATACAGCAGCCACTACAGTGCACTCCGTTCTTATAATCCTTAATGATTCTACAGCAGCCACTACAGTGCAGTCCGTTCTTATAATCCTTAATGATTCTACAGCAGCCACTACAGTGCACTCCGTTCTTATAATCCTTGATGACTAAGTTCTACAGCAGTCACTACAGTGCACTCCGTTCTTATAATCCTTAATGATTCTACAGCAGCCACTACAGTGCACTCCGTTCTTATAATCCTTAATGTTTCTTCAGCAGTCACTACAGTGCAGTCCGTTATTATAATCCTTAATGATTCTACAGCAGCCACTACTGTGCACTCCGTTCTTATAATCCTTAATGATTCTACAGCAGTCACTACAGTGCACTCCGTTCTTATAATCCTGAATGATTCTACAGCAGCCACTACTGTGCAGTCTGTTCTTATAATCGTTAAAGTATCTACAGCATCCACTACAGTGCAGTCCGTTCTTATAATCCTTGACGATTCCACAGCAGTCACTACAGTGCACTCCGTTCTTATAATCCTTAATGATTCTACAGCAGTCACTACAGTGCAGTCCGTTCTTATAATCCTTAATTCTACAGCAGCCACTACAGTGCAGTCTGTTCTTATAATCCTTGATGATTCTACAGCAGTCACTACAGTGCAGTCTGTACTTTTAATCTTTAAGGATTCTACAGCATCCACTACAGTGCAGTCCGTTCTTATAATCCTTAATGATTCTACAGCAGCCACTACAGTGCAGTCCGTTCTTATAATCCTTAATGATTCTACAGCAGCCACTACTGTGCAGTCTGTTCTAAAAATGCATATATATACACAATGTATATTATTGTCACAATGCTCAGCTTGCACTATATTTCTGTGTTAAGTGAACCGTGAAATTGAGGTAAAAACCCTAAATTTGGAATATAATTTAAATAGTTCACATCAGTGGCCGAGTGGTCGAAATAGTCCAACTACTGGCTGGTGGGGAGAACTGCGTTTGTTTACTTTTTGATAAATACAAAATAATTGATTTAAATGTATGTTTTAACACAATTTCATTAGAATATAACTTTTTAATGTATAATAACAGGATTAAAGTCCAAAAAAGTGTAATTAAAGCAGATGAATCCATAATATTGTTTACTGAATGCGATTCATTTTAACTATAAA